ACTAGATATATCTGTCAATACACGCAAGAAAATGTTTTACAAATACTGAAAATGATATCTTCTGAAACACAGTGCCTCTATTTTGGGTTATAAAAGAAGTCCTGTGCAAAAATTGTGTGCACCATTACAAGGGTTGGTTAGTCCCAATGTTTGATCCAGGAGTTGTCTTGTCCTCTAGGTTGGGTTCAAAATTTACAAGAAAACGTAGTTAAGCATTGATGGTTGTAAACCTGAAACTGGGTTGACTGCTCAATGACAGTTATAAAATAAGACATGAAGTTGTGCTAAAGATAAATGTGTTGAGACAATACTATCTTTATGGGAGAAGAGGATTATACCATTCTTTTACTCGATGCTATACAAATCCCTTAACACTAAATTTTTCAGCAACAGATTCATTGGAGATCATGGCTATTCTTTGATTTTGGTATTAAATATGAATGTCCACGTATTTTTGAAAATTTTTACGCAATTTGTTCACAGCTATTCTTTCTAAATAGTGATTACCATCAACGGGCACCAAAACAAATGTTGAAAAATAGCTGTGGTGTTCTCACAGATTCCAACCATTATAATTTCTTCATAAATATTACGATTTCGTAGACAAAATAAGGATCTAAATTAAGGTTTTTAAGAATTTTCATTGCAATCTATTTGAAATATACATTATTTTTCTTAACCACCAAGAGTTAAGAATATTTGCTTTTTACAACTAATCTATGAAAATTCTTTTTTACTCCTTGGAACCATTTCTAAAACAATACAAACATAGACAATTATAGACCGTTTAGGAAAAATAAAAGAACATAAACTCAAATCTGAAATGTTGTGAGAAAATATTTTTAGTGATTCAAATGTAGTTGTCTGAAAAGGTAATAAGGGTTTGTTCTAATTTAACCAAAAATTAAAAGATTGATTCCAAATAATCGATACAATTTTATCTGTTTTACAATAAAGTATAAAATTTTAGTGTTGTATATTTTTTAAATTGCCGAGGTATTGATTTTGTTATTTTATTGTAAATATATACCTAATTATACAAATTTTTGTATGAATATATAGCATTAAGTAATATATACATCTTAGAATTGTGCTATTTGTGAATGCTAATTTGTATTAAATTCTATGTTGTTGTAAGGTTGAACTGTATTATTCTAATGGAAATTAAATCATCATCGAAATTTAATAATGATTTTGCTCTTTCATGAAAGACGCATCTTTTCTAGAAAACAAATATTATTATCATTTCAACACACCCTGCTACTCCAGATAAGACGTTCCACTGTTCTAGAGTCACATTATTTTTAATGCCAGCTTGGTGCTTCATTCCCCACATGTTAGCTGGTTTTGAAAGCTTAATTTTGTTCTTGATACTTACGAACCATTTTTTTAAATCAATGTTTAGCACTTCCTTGCAAACTTATTAATTGGTTTTATGCAGTATACTCCTACATTTAAAACTCTGATTGGTTATTACTTTTGTATTTTTGATGCTGGCATTTCAGTACAACTTATAGTTTGTCTAAAGTAAGAACATTATATATATGTATATATAATGTTGGAACTTTGCTTGCTTTATTATTTAACTACCACCTTAGATAACAGCAAAAGCTACTACAACTTTTGAGTTGGCAGCTCTGCAATAGCATGATTATGACAGTGAAGCCTTATTTACTTATCAGTTAAACAGCAACCCATGGATCTAAAACTTCAAGCCTACTCTGAAAATGAACCAAGAGTCTTTGACAATAACATTTCAATGTGTTTAATCATTGAGTTATTGCTGCTTCCTTAACATCAATTTCTAATTTTGTCTTGTGTCTGAAGGACAGCCTGCTTGATTCTTGCAATATTATGATTGCAGTTAGTTTTTATTAATATTTCCATATTAGGGAATCTATACTATTAGAAAATGGTGGTATAAGTCATAATTTTTTTGTCATAGAAATCTCACTTATGCAGCCTCATGTTGCAATCAAAGTGCACAAAAGATGATTCTATCAGTGATTTACTTTTAAAGTGGAAAGTTTAATTAGAAAAAAAGTCATTTTAGAAAAAACAAGCATCTTAAATAAATTAACCTCTTCTCACCTTTTAAAGCTAACTAATTTTATGATAAAAAATTTAATGCAAGCTTAAAAAAACAGAGTTGTTTATTTACTTAGAATAACTTGATCATACAATTGTTTTTGCATATTTATATATCTGTTGGGATCAATTTTATAGACGCTAAATATCATTCATCAATTCGTCTTTTCATGACGCTAACAGAAAGAAGCATTGCCGCACCAAAAAAATGACACTGGCTGAAATTAGTATAATTTGCGATAAATCATGTACCTTTGATAATAATTTTGAAGTCAATGGAGGTAACTTCTAAGAACGACCCACCTACATCAACGACCATTTTAATGTGGGACGGAGAGTGGTCACTACCGAGAGGTTACTCTGTATAAAAAAAGCATAGAAGATATCTTAACACAGAGGATAAGGAACAAATAATGGCAATTTTCTATTTAAAAAAAAACAAAAACTTATTGATATTTTTCTTTTTAAATATCTTCGTGTTGTTCATTCATACCTAGCCCAAAGTGTACCTTATCTTCCTTTGGATCATCATGTATTTATCTTGAATAAATAAAATATTGGAAAAAAAAAACAGTTTATTATCTTTTTATTTTAGATTGAGATAATGCTTTTATATCTACCGCATCATATGAATGACCAGAGAGCTGATCAGTTTTTGATGCTCCAGTTCCGCACTTAGATAATGAGCCAAAGTTCTAGCTTCGCTGAGGCTTCAGCATTTTTACTATTTATTTATGCGCTTTTTTATGTTTCAGAATTTAATTAAAAATTTATTTTATAAAATGGAACAGCGTATTTTAAATGCAAAAGTCAAAACGAATTTTAGATAATATTAGGATTTTTATGTCATAGTTATTAAATATAAGAATGAAAAGTAATACTGCATAACCCAATTGAAAACGAAATTAAATAAAATATTTCTGCCAGGTAAAAATTATCTGTATTAAAAACATGAAAGAAATTTTTTTTTAATGTAAAACCTGAAAAATTTAAAAGAGTGAAAATAGTTTTTAAAAAAAAAAAAAAAAAACAAAGGTGCCTAGAGCTATATACGAGCTCCAGATATATTGCTTTGGTTCCAGGTCTGTGTAACCAAGTATGACGTTCGGACGCAATTATGTCACCTAACGCATATGAAAAGTGCAAGACAGTAGAAACTCCTCATGTGCTGAGGGAATGGAGTAAATATTGTGGTGTCAAAGCTGAGATTCGAACCCCTGTTTAGCTGGTCATGAGATTGATAGCTCGCAGCTAAAGTATATACCCAGCTTCAAGGAGCTAAGGCTGAGGGCTAGCTGTTTTTGCTTTCCTCGGTGAAATAGATATCCCACAATTACAAATTGATAATTTGTTAGCTACAAATCGTTTGCGGTCGCCCCCTTTTACATGGTGGACGCTAGAGGAAGGGGGGTTTCAACGGCGAGAGGACCACTCGTCTGGTCAGCAGATGGGGGAGATAAGGAGTTGACCCCGTCCGGGGAGTCTGTCGAGGCACACGTAGGCACAAGCCATTTTACATGCAGAAAGGTAGACCCCCTGGCCGGCTGTGGTCAATGGCACGTGGCATCCATGTCTAATTGGTTGATATCCATGTCTAATGAGGGAGGGCTTTCCTTCAACTTTGCGAGGTAGTTCTCTCCGTNAACTATTCTCAGTAGGGGTTTAGAATCACTGTTTAGGACAGGTTTTGGCTTGTGTTTCGGCAAGAGAAAGGGAATCTTTTTCTTCGGTCTATTGAGTCAGCCCTCTAGGAGAGGCACTACCCTCCCTGAAATACGCTTTTCTTGTTACCATAGCAACAGATGGCTTCAGACTTTGTGTCGGGGGGAGTTCTTACCGTAGACAAACTATATAAACCTAACAGCACAATCTTCTTATTCTCACCTTCATTTAGGATTCTGCGGAGAATAGTCTTGTAAATATTCCAAAAATTAAACATGGTTATATATATATATCAAGCAATCATTTTATATTAGATATACAATTGAACACAAAATCATATTTTATGTAAATTTCGGAAATTCCTCAAATAAATAAAAAAAAGTTTCCTAATTTCTTTAAATTTTATTTATAATATATTCAAATGAATTAAAGAAAATTCAAATTTTCATCCTAATTTTGTGTCTGCTGATTTCAATATTTAAAAAAAAAATCTCAGTTGTCTTTTAGGAAATCTTCGAATATGCTTAGGAAATAACCCCTACTCTTACCGTGAATAATTTTTTCTGCTCCTCCAAAAATATTCTTTACTCTTTTTTATTTTTATGTCATAAAATTGAAGCAACATGAAAGTGCAAGGTATATACAATTATCTGAAAATTTTGTTTGACTTTGGTTTATACTAATAACTTTTTTATACTTAGTATTTTGACAATCCAGTTTTTTATATTTGATGAGAAATTAACACAAGTTTAAGATTTTTTTTATATTGAAAATTATTCTATATCTTTCAAAAATGAAAAGAAAAATCTTTCTCTATTTTTAGATCTTTATTTTCACCATTATTGATTTAATGATTACTTACTTTTATTCTTGTAAAATTTAAAATTTTTAACTATTTATAGCCTTGTGGAAAAGTTGTTATATGAAAAAAATAACTTTTGTATTGAAGCGGATGAGAATGACACAATTAATGAAGGGAACGATGCAAACAAGTCAGATGAAAATGTCAAGATATTGCCTGATGAGAGATAGAAGAATATGACTTTTGACCACAGATTGTGTATTGTGAAATATTTATGTAAAAAAGATATTTATTAAATTTTTGATTTCTTTTTCACTTGAATTAAAGTGACTTTCTATTAATGACTCAATTTATTTGCAAATGAGAGATAGTTTTTTTTTTAATTTTGTTTCTTTGAATATTATGCAGTGTTCATTTTAATTCATCCTTTGAGTAACTCATCATCATATTTAAATTCATTCATTTTATTGTAACAAAAAAAGGATACAAAAGTGATTATTTGTTTCTGGGTTTTAGAAAAAGCTTTTTATACCATGGAGGTTGAAGATGTCTTAAACTGGTTTTTGACAGCTCACTTGAGATTTTCTTCCAAAACTGTCCTATAATACTGTAAATCAGTGATTCCCAAAGGGGTCTATGTCGACCCCCAAGGGTCGACGACAACCTGAAAGGGTTCCATGTCAAGTGAAAAAAAAATTGGTCTATGAAATGAAAATAGGGGTCAACGATAGTGGATCTCATATAAGCAGGTCGTGACTTTAATTTTGGCATTTCATGAATGGAATAATCAACATACGCTGATAGTACCTATTTACTTACATTTTACTACCTTATAATGTAAACACATATATCTATCTACATTCTACATAATTTATAAAAGTAGCTATGAAGTAAACAATTTATTAAAATTTATGTTATTAGGATTATTTTCTGATATATGAAATTGGCCAAATGTTGATAATTTATTATTAAAGCATCAGGTTCATCCTTCCCACTAAAAACATTTATTTATTGCTTAGTTATTTTATATAACAGATACTAAATTTTAATTTGTTTCGTTTTAATTTGAATTTAATTTATAAATGTTTAAAGTTAACATGCGCGTTTTACTTAAGTTTTTCACACTTCATTTCACTACAGTTTGAAATTTACATTTTTTACAGTGAGTAGCACTATACCAGCTGTCAAAAATACATTTGAAGTTGATGAATTTACAAAAAATCAATATCAGTTACGCAGGGGGTCTATCCAAAGCCGAAAAACATGGCAAGGGGTCCACGAGACAAAAAAGTTCAGGAACCACTGCTGTAGCAAATCAAAATACTTATAACGTGGAATATTTTCTGAATGGTTTTTTTTTAATAAAAAAATAAATATTTCATATTTAGCTTTAAATATTTGTATATCAAGTAAAACGTATTTTTAAGAATACATCAATAAATGTTATATTGCCATTGTTTTAACTGGTGGCTGAGTGGTACTCTCATGTACAGGGCTCAGACCACAGCCTTTCATCTGTTCAATGGGTCAATCAAATGTCAGGGAGAACACTGAAAACTTAGAATTGTCATGGAATTTTACTTTGACTTTAAAAATCAGGGTAAGTTGTAATTTTTTTCCAAACAATTGGAAATTTTTTTCATTATTCCTGGTAAATGATCATTCTTAGAATTCCTAGTTAAAGTAAACAGTTATTGAGATTTGAGTTAAATAATTCTGATATCTATTACAGTTATTTGGTGTAAAAATTTCACATTTTAGTAAACGTTTTATGTTTCCATTATCATTCAATGATGTTTTTATGCTCTCAAAATCTAATATTTGGCTCTACAAATAAAAAATAAAATGATTTGTTCTTCTCGTTGACCAATAAGGCAAGGGGGTGTTATTGTTCTTGTTTTCCAGTGGCGCCATCTATGGTGAACGAATTCGACTTCTGTCACACCCATACTTCACTTCTGTCTATAGGACGGTCCCATTCATCAACAAATTGTAATTTCAACCTGAAACAGAGAACAATTAATCTCCAATTCAGTACTCTCAGAGGTATATTTTATAATGAGGACATAGAAGATGTTGTGACCCGACAGATTTAAAGTGCACTAATCATCATTTACTACACAGGGAGTCTTTGCCCGGCTGGATTCGAACTCCCGTTCTCATGAACGAGAGTCCAGTGCCCTAACAATAAAGCTATCTTGGTCCCATAAAATTATTTCAGATCAAAAATTGCATGCTATATTTAAAATATGGTGTGAATTTTTTCTGAAATATCCGGAAAAGTAGAAAAAAAAAATTTTCTTCTGAAATTGCGTGAGAACCTTGAATGAGTACCAAACATTGGGAATTTCCACTCTTGGCTGACCACCCAACTGGAACATTTGCTCCAGAACTTAGTCACAAATACTGGGATGAGCACAGTAGGCTTTTGCCCTTCATAGGCTGCTGCACCACATGGTGTAGAATTGTTTCTTAAAAAAAATTTTTTTTTAGTAATAAAGATTTAAATGAACTAATTTTAATTCAAATGTTTTGTACTTAGATCATTTAAAGGCATGCATCACCATTTGCTAATAGTTTAAATAAGGAATTTTTAGTTTGGCTTTACATTGCAGATTACTACTACCTTTTCTATTTTTCTAATATTATTTTAAAATTGTAAAAATAACTTTTTCTTTGCTATATTCATCAAGAAAATAAGCAAAATAAATAAAGAATAAAACCACATAAATAATACAAAGAGATTTATTGGAAAAGTCGCATCAGGCATTGTTTTTCACTGCATTGTAGTTTAGGCATAAAAGCAAAGCATTCTTACTACAGCCCATTGTATGCCAACAGGCTGATGAAGGTTAGGACTCAACAATTTAACTTCTCTGCCTTTAGTCTGAGATTTTTCTTAAATATTTATAGTGCTAACAGATATGTTTTAGCATTTCATTTAAAAAGATTTTGACCAACACTTTATGTTAATAGTTGAAAGGTATATATTATGTATAATATTGGAGAAACTTTAAGGACCTATGTTTACTTTAATATTTAACTACCACCTTAAATAACAGCAAGCGCTACAACTTTTAAGTTGGCAGCTCTGCAATTGCATGATTATGACAGTGAAGCCTTATTTACTTATCAGTTAAACTGCAACCCATGGATCTAAAACTTCAAGCCTACACTGAAAATGAAACACGAGTCTTTGACAATAACATTTCAATGTGTTTAGTCGTTGAGTTATTGCTGCTCCCTTAACATTAATTTCTAAATTAGTCTAGAGTCAGCCTGCTTGACTCTTGCAATTTTATGATTGCAGTTAGTTTTGATTAATATTTCCATATTAGGGAACCTATACTATTAGAAAATGGTGGTATAATTAAATGGTGGCATAATTTTTTTATCACAGAAATCTCACTTCAACAGAGCCCCGTTAACCGGAAACCTAACTGCAGAAAATAATTTTTTTAAAACTTACTGTGTTTTATTTAAGAATCGAAAACTGGAAAAGTTTTAAAATTGATCCAGGAGAAAATTTGAAATAAAAATGAATTACCTATATTTTTTTTTTTTTTTGCGAAATTTGCATGATTCTTTTCTGAATCTTCTTAAATAAAATCAATTATTGATACAGTGTTCTATTCAATTAAAAAGGAAAACTATTACAAAAGGTTATTATGGTACAAATGTTGAACATTCAAAAGTTTTTTTTTTTTTTCATGGAAGATTCACAATGAAAGACTTCGTGGAATGCATAAGATTTTGATGCGAAATCATTCAGTCTTGAAAAAACAGAGGAATATCTTTACAGGGTTATTCATAATTCCCCCCAGGGTTTCGAAGCGTTAAAATAAAAAAAAAGAAGATGAATATGGCAAAAAAGAACATTTGAAATTATTTCGAAAGTATTCAAGTTTTAATTTAAGCAGTTGCCGGTAGATGGCAGTAACATGCACCACTGAAACCAGTTGTAGTAAAGAAAAATGGCCCTTACAGGCTAAGGGAATTATGAATAACCCTGTATTGTAGTCTTTCAAAAGACTGGTGGTTGCCAATATAATTACCTTTTATTTATGATATTACGAGACTCCTTTACGTCAACTTCGCAGAATGTCTGAAATCAAATCACTTTTTTAAAAGCCAAACACGATTGTTCTGTTAATCATTCAGTGAATGATTGTTTTTTTTTTTAAATCTCCTTATTTGAGACACGTTATGTAATTACGTGAAACCTCCAGGAATAGACCACCGCTATTTACGAGCACCTTGGGGAGGCACGGAATTTTTTCCATAGACTTTAGTGTTGAAGAAAACCTTTAAGAGAGATCATTAAAACCTCTTTCAGCTACCGGGAAAACAACTGCACCAAATGTGGAAAAGGTCAAATAAGGAAACACGAAAAAATATAAAAACAGAAAATTTAACTAAACAAATAAGTAGATTAAAATGTATTCAAAATATCTGTGTGAGACTCTTATTTAGAGATCTCTTTTTAACGATACAGCTACATGTTACAGTCAAAGTGCACGAAAGATGATGCTATCAGTGATTTACTTTTAGAGTGGAAAGTTGAATTTATCGAAAAAAGTTTTTTAGAAGAAACAAGCAGTTCAAATAAATCAACCTCTTCTCACCTTTTAAAGCTAACTAATTTTCATGATATAAAATTAAATGAAAAGAAAAACATAGTTGTTTATTTACCTAACTTGATCATACAAAATTGGTACATTTGTTTTTACACGTTTTTATATCAGTTTGGATCAATTTCATATCCACTAAATTTCATTCATCGATCCGTCTTTTCATGACGCTAACAGAAGTGGCATTGCCGCACCAAGAAAATGACACAAATTAATATCATTTGCGATAAATCATGTACCTTTGATAACAATTTTGAAGTCAATGGAGGTAACTTCTAAGAACGACCCACCTACATCAACGACCATTTTAATGTGGGACGGAGAGTGGTCACTACCGAGAGGTTACTCTGTAAAGCATAGAAGATATATTAACACAGAGGATAAGGAGCAAATAATGGCAATTTTCTATTAAAAAAAAACTAACGTTATTTTTATCTTAGATATTTTCGCGTTGTTCATTCATACGTAGTCCAAAGTGTACCTTATCTTCCTTTGGATCATCATGTGTTTATTTTGAATAAATAAAACATGGGGCAAAAACAGTTTATTATCTGTTTATTTTAGAATGAGATAATGCTTTTCTTTCTACCACATCATAGGAATGACCAGGAAGCCGATCAGATTTTGATGCTCCAGTTTCGCACTTATAGATAATGAGCCAAAGTTCTACCTCGGCTAAGGCTTCAGCAATTTTACTATTTATTTATGCGTTTTTTTGAATTTCAGAATTTCATTTAAAATTTATTTTATAAAATGGAACAAGGTATTTTAAATACAAAAATGAAAACGAATTTTAGATAGTAATAGGATTCTTATGATATAGTTATTAAATATTAGAATGAAAATTAATACTGCATAACCCAATTGAAAACAAAATTAAATAAAATATTTCTGCTAGTCAAAAATTGTCTGTAAATAAAATAAAAAATTCAGTATTAAAAACACGAAATAATTTTTTTTTTTAATGTTAAGCCTGAAAAATTTAAAAGAATGAAAATAGGGGAAAAAAAACTAAAGGTGCCTAGAGCTTATACGAGAGCTCCAGATTGATTGCTTTGGTTCCAGGTGTGTGTAAATGACAATGTATTTATTGTAAGTATGACGTTCGGACACAATTATTTCACCTAACCGTGTATATGAAAAGTGCAAGACAGTAGAAACTCCTCAAGTGCTGGAGGAATGGAGTAAATATTGTGGAGTCAGCTCTGAGATTCGAACCCCTCTTCTGTATACAAAAAAAAACTATTTTTTCTTTGGGAAATAGCGAATAATAGCTAATAAACGGATAAATTTCGTATAATTTTTATTTATTTATTTATTTTAATTTAAATTATTTTTTTAACTTCTTTTCAATATTTTAGAGCGATAAAGTATTCTATATGTGACAAGAATAATTTTTCTTTGATAAAGAGCGAATAATGGCGGAAAAAGGGACAGAAGTCATATAAGGAGGCACGCACACATCACACCCCGTAACTCCTTATAATATTAACCTATAAATTTCAAACTCCGCCCAAAATTAGAGTTTAATGTATCAAACAATTGTATCGAAGGATTTTTTTATAGACCGATTAGTGGGCCCACAATGGGCCAAAATAAGTTTTGTTTACTAACCGGGAGGAGGTGTTTTAAGCTAAATATCGCTTGGCGGGCATGTGAAGCAAGGCGCAATTAGTAAAGCTGTATGGCAAGGTAGATTTGTAGTGCCGGATAATACCCTGGGTTCGAATCCCTGCGAGGGTCGAATTTCAAAATTTCTTTTTTTTATGTTATTTCTTTTAATATATTTTTTGATATTTTAACGTGAATCAAGTGTTCTGTAAAAAAAAAAACTATTTTTTCTTTGGGAAATAGCGAATAATAGCTAATAAACGGTTAAATTTCGGATAATTTTTATTTATTTATTTATTTTAATTTATATTATTTTTTTAACTTCTTTTCAATATTTTAGAGCGAATAAAGTATGATATATGTGACAAGAATAATTTTTCTTTGATAAAGAGCGAATAATGGCGGAAAAAGGGACAGAAGTCATATAAGGAGGCACGCACACATCACACCCCAGAACTTCTTATAATATAAACCTATAAATTTCAAACTCCGCCCAAAATTAGAGTTTAATGTATCAAACAATTGTGCCGAAAGATTTTTTTATAGACCGATTAGTGGGCCCACAATGGGCCAAAATAAGTTTTGTTTACTATCTGGGAGGAGGTATTTTAAGCTAAATATCGCTTGGAAGGCATGTGAAGCATGGCGCATTTGGTAAAGCTGTATGGCAAGAAAGATTTGCAGTCCCGGATACCCTGGGTTCGAATCCCTGCGAGGGTCGAATTTCTAAATTTTTCTTTTCTTTATATTATTTTTTTTAATATATTTTTTGATATTTTAACGTGAATCAAGTGTTCTGTATACAAAAAAAACTATTTTTTCTTTGGGAAATAGCGAATAATAGCTAATAAACGGATAAATTTCGGATAATTTTTATTTATTTATTTATTTTAATTTATATTATTTTTTTAACTTCTTTTCAATATTTTAGAGCGAATAAAGTAATCTAAATGTGACAAGAATATTTTTTCTTTGATAAAGAGCGAATAATGGCGGAAAAAGGGGCAGAAGTCATATAAGGAGGCACGCACACATCACTCCCCGTAACTCCTTATAATATTAACTTATAAATTTCAAACTCAGCCCAAAATTGGAGTTAAATGTATCAAACAATTGTGCCGAAGGATTTTTTTATAGATCGATTAGTGAGCCCACAATGGGCCAAAATAAGTTTTGTTTACTAACCGGGAGGTGTTTTAAGCTAAATATCGCTTGGCATGCATGTGAAGCATGGCGAAGTTGGTAAAGCTGTATGGCAAGATAGATTTGTAGTCCCGGATACCCTGGGTTCGAAACCCTACGAGGGTCGAATTTCAAAATTTTTCTTTCTTTTATATTAATTTTTTAAACATATTTTTTGATATTTTAACGTGAATCAAGTGTTCTGTATATAAAAAAAACTTTTTTTGGGGGGGGAGGGGGAAATAGCTAATAATATCTAATAAACGGATAAATTTCGGATAATTTTTATTAATTTATTTATTTTAATTTATATTATTTTTTTAACTTCTTTTCAATATTTTAGAGCGAATAAAGTATTCTATATGTGAAAAGAATAATTTTTCATTGATAAAGAGGGAATAATGGCGGAAAAAGGGACAGAAGTCATATAAGGAGGCACACACACATCACACCCCGTAACTCCTTATAATGTAAACCTATAAATTTCAAACTCCGCCCAAAATTAGAGTTTAATGTATCAAGCAATTGTGCCGAAGGATTTTTTTATAGATCGATTAGTGAGCCCACAATGGGCCAAAATAAGTTTTGTTTACTAACCGGGAGGAGGTGTTTTAAGCAAAATATCGCTTGGAACGCATGTGAAGCATGGCGAAGTAGGTAAAGCTGTATGGCAAGGTAGATTTGTAGTCCCGGATACCCTGGGTTCGAAACCCTTCGAGGGTCAAATTTCAAAATTTTTCTTTCTTTTATATTATTTTTTTAAGCCTATTTTTTGATATTTTAACGTGAATCAAGTGTTCTGTAAATAAAAAAAACTTTTTTTGGGGGGGGAGGGGGAAATAGCTAATAATATCTAATAAACGGATAAATTTCGGATAATTTTTATTAATTTATTTATTTTAATTTATATTATTTTTTTAACTTCTTTTCAATATTTTAGAGCAAATAAAGTATTCTATATGTGAAAAGAATAATTTTTCTTTGATAAAGAGCGAATAATGGCGGAAAAAGGGACAGAAGTCATATAAGGAGGCACGCACAGATCACTCCCCGTAACTCCTTATATTTTAACCTATAAATTTCAAACTCCGCCCAAAATTAGAGATTAATGTATCGAACAATTGTGAAGAAGGATTTTTTTATAGACCGATTAGTGGGCCCACAAAGGGCCAAAATAAGTTTTGTTTACAATCCGGGAGTAGGTGTTTTAAGCTAAATATCGCTTGCCAGGCATGTTAAGCAAGGCGCAGTTGGTAAAGCTGTATGGCAAGGTTTGCAGTCCCGTATACCCTGGGTTCGAATCCCTGCGAAGGTCGAATTTCTAAATTTTTCTCTTTTTTATATTATTTTTTTTAATGTATTTTTTGATATTTTAACGTGAATCAAGTGTTCTGTATATAAAAAAAAACTTTTTTTTCTTTGGGAAATAGCGAATAATAGCTAATAAACGGATAAATGTCGGATAATTTTTATTAATTTATTTATTTTAATTTATATTATTTTTTTAACTTCTTTTCAATATTTTAGAGCGAATAAAGTATTCTAAATGTGACAAGAATATTTTTTCTTTGATAAAGAGCGAATAATGGCGGAAAAAGGGGCAGAAGTCATATAAGGAGGCACGCACACATCACTCCCCGTAACTCCTTATAATATTAACTTATAAATTTCAAACTCAGCCAAAAATTGGAGTTAAATGTATCAAACAATTGTACAGAAGGATTTTTTTATAGACCGATTAGTGGTCCCACAATGGGCCAAAATAACTTTTGTTTACTATCCGGGAGAAGGTGTTTTAAGCTAAATATCGCTTGGCAGGCATGTGAAGCATGGCGCAGTTGGTAAAGCTGTTTGGCAAGGTGGATTTGTAGTCCTGGTTACCCTGGGTTCGAAACCCTGCAAAGGTCGAATTTCAAAATTTTTCCTTTTTTTACATTATTTTTTTTAATATATTTTTTGATATTTTAACGTGAATCAAGTGTTCTGTATATAAAAAAAAACTTTTTTTGGGGGGGGGGGAAATAGCGAATAATAGCTAATAAACGGATAAATGTCGGATAATTTTTATTAATTTATATTATTTTTTTAACTTCTTTTCAATATTTTAGAGCGAATAAAGTATTCTAAATGTGACAAGAATATTTTTTCTTTGATAAAGAGCGAATAATGGCGGAAAAAAGGACAGAAGTCATATAAGGAGGCACGCACACATCACACCCCGTAACTCCTTATAATATTAACCTATAAATTTCAAACTCCTCCCAAAATTAGAATTTAATGTATCGAACGATTGTGCTGAAGGATTTTTTTATAGACCGATTAGTAGGCCCACAATGGGCCAAATAAGTTTTGTTTACTAACCGGGAGGAGGTGTTTTAAGCTAAATATTGCTTGGCAAGCATGTAAGCATGGCGCAGTTGGTAGAGATGTATGGCAAGGTAGATTTGTAGTCCCGGATACCCTGGGTTCGAAACCCAGCGGGGGGTGAATTAAAAAATCTTTCTTTTTTTATATTATTTTTTTCAAACATATTTTTTGATACTTTAACGCGAATCAAGTGTTCTGTATATAAAAAAAACTATATTTTCTTTTGGAAATAGCGAATAATTGCTAATAAACGGATAA